CAAGCGCTTTGAATGCTATAGAGTGAAGGCTAGAGTAGTAACCTGATTAAGTAACCTTTCTATTACAGCGTACGTACAGTATGTGCGCAAGGTTCCACGGGTGCCCTAAATTTAAGGCCTTTTACTTAAGGAAAAAGACACCGAAGTCGACAGGAGGAGGACAGACCGATTGTCATCTTCTGGAAATTAACGTGTTTTCCATCGATGAAGGAAAAGGAGGGACAGATTCTTGCTCGGGATTCACATTGTTCACCTGAGGAAGCTCTCGATTTTTTTTATGTTACCTTCAGTGATGGATCATTTTTCTACCTATCCATTCTATTTTCTTTTCTCCACTATGAACTAACCCCCTTTCTTCAGGGAGGGGTAGGAAACTCTCTGTAATGCGTTGCTGCAATTTTTGAATACCTTAGAGCTTTGATTTAACAGAAGTGTGCCTTTCATTTTCTATATCTCTCTAAACTTGTGTGGCCTACGGGTTTAGCGTGCAAACTTACTTGAGACTCGAGAGAGCCACTATGCGTGGACCTTCTTCTGTTAGCTATAGTTTTCTGCGTTCTTTCTGAAACAGAGCAGTGAACACCTAGGGATGGGGTTCACTCTATAGCGCCCTTAGACTGCTTTATAGCTTGTTCTAACCACAACTAGGAGTTGGGTTATTGCATTTATTTGGTAACTCGAGAGAGAGCCATGAGAGTCTGGGCATTGAGAAGTTTTAAGGCATTTTTAAGTAGTGAGCAATGGAAAACAGTTTGTAGAATTCTTCTCCCCGAATCCTTTAATCATTCGAAAACTCTTTTTGTGTTGGTGCTTGTGGTGGAAGCTTTATGGAGTAATTAGAACTGATTCTGCTCATCTTATGATTTTTGGTTTTTTTTTACTTGAACAAACACCCATTATCACATGCTATTTTATTATATTCTTTTTGGTATTTCAAAATTATTAACCACTTGTTATAAGCTAATTTCCAAGAGGAGACAACCTTGTTTAGTGCTACAATCGATTAATTAGTGTATACTTGCACTAAATTTATTCCACTAGTAAGAGATTGAACAGTAGCATAGCCTCACCGTTAAATGAACTTATTAAGAAGCATACTAAATTTGAGTAGAAAGAAAAGTAAGAAAATGCATTAAATGAACTGAAAGATAAATTGACCAATGCACCTTGTCTTGTTTTGCCTAACTTTGACAAATCTCTTGAGATTGAATGTGATGCAAGTGGGATAGGTATAGGAGCTGTTTTGATGCAAGAAAAAAGACTGATCATGTTCTTTAGTGAGAAACTAGATGGAGCACAACTTAACTACCCAACTTATGACAAGGAACTCCATGCACTTGCGAGGGCTTTACAAGTTTGGCAACATTACTTATTGCCAAAAGAGTTTGTTATCCATACAGATCATGAAAGTTTCAAGCACCTCAAAAGCCAAACGCATGCTAAATGGGTGGAGTTCATAGCACTACAACAAATATCACATACGATAGCGTCAAATATACTTTCCATAGCATTTTTAAGACGCAATGGTAGGCAATGTTATGGACAGTCTGAGCATTTTTTTCATGCTATGTTAAATGTTATAGAAAATCTGCTTTTGAGTGCATTATTTCAATGTTATAAATCTTTCCATAACGTTATAAAAAAATTCTATAATAGCCTTTTTATAACTTAAAAAAAAACTATGAAAGGTCTTTCATAGCCTAACTTAACGTTATGGTAGACATTTATAGTGTTTTACATAACATCTAAAAAATGCTATTACAAATATTGTATAGCACTTCTTCATATGCGATGGTAGCCAATGTTATGGAAAGTAGCTGACTTTTTATAATATTTTCTTGCATGATTATGTTATTATTTACTTTTAATGGCAACTATAAAATACAATAAAATGTTTTCATAACTTTTTTTAATTCAATTTTTAATTTACATTGATAACATTATTCAAATAGTAATAAATTCTAGCTTTGTTTAAACTCCAAATTGAGATACTTTTCAGAGTTCAGCATAAAAGAATCCAATTGCATATTCACACGTAGAAATTGTAAAGTACATAAATATAACATCTTCAAATTTCAACCACAAATCAAATTAAGTAAATATATAATCTAAAGAAAACATATAAATTCAATGCTCTAATACATATCAAGTATAAGTCCAAAGTCATCCCAAGTAAATTTATATGAAGTTGTTCAAAATATTGGTAGATAGATACATCCAATAAGAAGCATGGTTCCAAATGTAGTGGACTAGTGCCATCCCCACCTATAAAAAAACAATAATAACATATATTTCTAAGATCAAACTTTATTTTTTATTTCCAAAAAAAAAAGAAACGGAATTAAACTAAAAAAATTTGCTTACAGAAGGTTATTTTTACTTTATCAACAAGTCATGCCATCATAATACCCAGATGTCCTTAATAACCATCGTATCGGATGTAGGCTTCCATAAATATGAATTTGAATTTGACCGTACCAACCCACACTTCGTATCAACAGCGTAAACGGACCAGTTTGGATGAAGGCAATGGCAAACATATACGCATTCCTTCAAACAGTCATCGCCCTGCACGTAATTGTCTTCAATCTTTACTCTTCACTAGTCTTATCACCTTGTTCCATTTAACTAAACTGTCTTCATCGATTCACATTCAAATATTCGCAAGCCCGATGTACGAGTATTTGGACACGAGGTTCGGGATCAAAGGAAGCGCGCTGAACATAAAAAACCTGTCTTTCAGAATAGGTGTGAGAGGAGGGTACCTGGCCATAACCACACTGGTCTCAGCTATGCTGCCTTTCCTTGGGGACTTCATGAGCCTTACAGGAGCAGTCAGCACATTCCCTCTAACATTTATCCTAGCAAACCATATGTACCTTGTGGCAAAGAGGAGAAAACTCAGTTATTCCCAGAAGCTATGGCATTGGGCTAATGTTTGTTTCTTTGGCTGCATGTCTTTGGCAGCAGCAGTTTCAGCTTTAAGGCTCATAGCAGTAGACTCCAAAACCTACAATTTATTTGCTGATCTGTGATCAAGTTCCTTTTTATTCTTTTTCAGCTTCTGAAATCTCTCAGTTTTCTTCATGGATATGCTGCTCTCTCTTCTTAGTCTTGAGAGCTTTTTACCAGGTAATAATAGTATAGTATGGCCTAGCTTACATTACACTTTGCTCCCCTCTTTTTTAACTTTGTAATGATAAAAGGGTGGAGTATTGAAAATAAAAGTTCAGCTTCATTTGTTGGCTCATTTTGATTTTGTTGGGATTGTTGACACCACCAATGTTTGGTTGCGGTGATATTAGACATTAGATATAGTTAAGACTTTGTAGTTAAACATGCTTGAGTTAATATCAAGTTGGATGACCACTCGAATGTAATATATTTTATATTCACGAGTTATGGATTACTTTCATTTTCCTTTATTATTATTTTTTTGTGATAATAAAATATAGTTTGGATTAAGCATAAAATTTTAAAGTAATACAAAAATAATACTTTTTTCATTAGTATTTAAAAATCTTAAAAACATGGCAAGTTCTTAGATTTAACTATGAATTAGGTTTAAATCCTATTTTACTCCATTTGCTTTAAACAGATTTTGATATTGATTTCTCAAATTCGTTCATTGTCAATTTGTTTTTGAATTTTGAAAAGATTTTGTAGAACATGTTTTAAAAAAAGATTCTAAATAGTTTCATCCATCTAAGGTAAGTAGTGAAGATAAAGATGCTAGGTCACCAATTTTATAAAATGGTTAATTTTTTTAATGGTTTGAAGACAAATAAATATTTTGAAAATTTAAGTATTAATATATTCATTCTTTTAATTTAAGAACTATAATATATATTTTTTCAAGGTTTTAGAGACAAGAATGGAGAATCGGAAGGCTCATTTAACGTTTCCTATTTATTATTTCTTGTTTCCAATTTTTAAAAATATAAGCATTTGTTAACTATTTTTGTTTATTGTTTGTAACATTTCGAAAATTGTGTAGAAATTTTAGAAACAAGAAAATTAAAGCAAAAAAAAAAAACGATTTCCTTTTTAGTTTTTTATTTTATAAAATTATGCATGTTTACTCATAATTTGTTTGGCATGTTTTTACGTTTCTTAATAACACATTTGAATTCTAAGTCAAAGTTCAGAAATAAAAACAAGTTTTTGAAAACTAATTTTTTTATTTTTTTTATTTTGGTTTAGATTTCAAAAAAAAAATTCTAAAAAAAAGTTTCTAAAAAAAAAAGTAGATAGCAAAACAAATGATTATATAGGTGAAGGTAGTATTTATAACCTTGACTTTTGAAAATAGAAAACAAAAAACAAAATTGTTATTTATCAATACCCAAATTTCTTATTTTTTGTTTCTATTTATAGTTTTTCAAAACATAAATAAAAATCTTATTTTATCATTATTGACTTTAAATACATAATAAATATAACATAAAAAATCTGGATATATAGTTAAAAAAATTAAATTTTCATTTAAATTTAGATAATTTTTCTTTATTAAAAAAACTTTAAACAATAAACTAACTAAACATATTAATTAAAAATTTAATTTTTAAAGTTTGAAGACTATGGTGGGCAGAGTGATTTTGAAAAAAAAATATTTAAGAATAATTTATTTTCCAAAATCACATCCCAAATGATACCTTACAAGTAACAAGTAAAGTTTAAGTGATTTATGTAATCCTAAAATCAATTTTTTAATTTGCTGATCAATATAAATAAAAGTGATTTTGATAAGGATAAAATGCCAAAATCACTCTCAAATATATTCTAAATGGATAACCCTAAAAAATTTTAGATAAAAAAATTATAATTAACCAAATAATATAATATTGTATTATTGAACTTGTCCCGGTAATTAGAGATCTCCAAGATGAAACATTGGGTTGGGCCAATCCTACAGGCCCGCCAACGATGGGGCCGAGGCAGAAAAATACAGCCCAAGAATATATAAATCCGGCCCGTTTGTGGGTGGGTCTAATAGATCCTGAGAATTAGGTTTGGGAGGAGAGTGATACGAAGTTCACGGCCGTCGAAACTCTGTAGCAGAAGGAGAAGCAGACGCCGCCGAAGATGGTGAAAGGAAGGGAAGGAGAGAGAGTCAGGTCTTTAATATGAGCGCCTTTGGGAGATCAAATTTTCAAGTTATTCTTGTGTCGTTCTTCACCTAATTTGTTTTTGTTGTTCTTTCACTTCTCTTTCATGTTGGAATTAGACTCTACATCCGAGGAACAATTCTCGGCTACAAGAGGTAACTAATCACTGTCTATCAACTCCCTCCTTCACATTTTCTTGGCCCATGTAAAACCGACGAAGTAACATTTGAGTTTTTATGTTTCTGGACTGCGTTATATTATTTTCTTGGTCGTTGTCATTTGTCCGGAATCTAAAGATGATTGAAGTGGTGGCTAGGTCTAAATCCAACCAGTACCCGAACACTTCATTACTCCAGATCGAGGGTGTTAATTCCAAGGACGAGGTTTCCTGGTACCAAGGAAAGCGATTGGCTTATATCTACAAGGCTAARGTGAAGAAGAATGGGACACATTATCGTTGCATTTGGGGCAAGGTCGCTAGGCCTCATGGTAACAGTGGCATTGTTAGAGCGAAGTTCAAGTCTAATCTGTCACCAAAGTCCATGGTATGGTGAAAAATAAAGCTGTCTAATGTGTTGGAGACCTCTCTATATTGTTTATTAACAATTTTTTTAAACCTCTATGCAGGGTGACAGGGTCAGGGTATTCATGTACCCCAGCAACATTTGAGATAACTTTCTCTTTATCCTTTTACCCTTTGTACGTTTTGATGCTTCTGATTATAGTCTGTCTTTGGTGTTGAAGTCACGTGTTTGCACTTAGCCACAGTTTAGGTTTCTTACTTTGTTTTTTGGTTGAAATGTTCCTCTACAACTTTATTTGTTCACTAATGTGGGAATGGCTGTGACTTTTCCAAAATCCTTGCATCCGTATATGTTTTGCGATGTTAATATGACATAGCTAAAATCTCAATTACAAGCTTCCCTTTCTGTGCTTTTTTGGAAGACATGTTTGGATTATAATAATAGGATTTTCAATGAAGTAGACCCTCCGATTATCCAAGTATTAATCGGTTCATAACTTTTTGCTGTCATCTTTATGGTGTATCTTTTTTCTAACTACAAAATGTTGTTTGGCGAGGTGTATTTGTAACTCGGTATATAAAGGTTGAAGGACGGACGATTGGGTATTTAAGAAACGGGAAGACAGTTTTGTGGAGTTGTATTCATTTTGTTGAATGGTGTTTGGAATTTTGACAGGATTTATATGAATTGACAGTTAGTTTGGGGCATGGTATCCGTATAGTGATAAATGGTTATTTTTTGTCAATCAATCCTAAAATATTTTGTTTCCACGGTCGCTAGGTTGTTATCTGTATTTATTTGTTTTTGTATTGCCATGGGCAATGATTGAATTTTGGGATGATAAGTTTTACCTATTTGATTTTGTACATGGTATATTAATGTAAATGTGCTCATCACTTTATTTAATTATTTTTGTTGTWGTTGCCCCTGTTTGTCGAAAGATCTACTTATTTATTAGACCTGACTTAAATTAGGGGCTAAATGCACCTCTGATTCCTTGTTTTTTTTTGTTGTATAATGATAATTTTAGATTTAATTAATTGTATGCTTTTGCTTCAAGATTATGTGGGCGAATTGAAAATAGTGGAAATAATGCCTGTGTTGTGTTATCCTGATCGGTAATTAATTGATATGAGCATCATGCATGAGGTTTGAATTTTCATTCTATCATTTTCTCTTCTGAAGCATTTTCTGCCTGTCTTCATGCCTCTTTTCTGAATTCTATTTGTTTTTTTTCATATGTACATATGCGTAAAGTGAAGTGAATGGTGTTGAAGTTTAGCGTTCACTGTATCTCACCTGTGAACCATACCGGGAAAAGCTAGTTTTATATTTTCCTATTTCTTGTTTAATGGTGCTGAGCATCTGTTTATTTGTTATTTCCTAATATGTGCTTAATGTGTTTTTGCAGCATGGAGAACCTAGATGAAACTACTGGAAGGGATTTTTATTTTTATTATATTTTGTGAGCTAAGATAGAAGCATTTACTGTTTTCCGAACTGAGTAATTTTTGGCGTTTAGTGGATGTTTCACTCTCAAGTAGTTGAACAGAATTTTACAACCATTTGTCTTGAGCATTTTCATGTGTTAAGCTATGTGGTTGCAGTTCCTATCAAGTGGTTTTCTCGTATACAAATCCTATGTACTTGTGTTATTCTAGTTCTTATTGGTAATTACTTTGTTTTTTCTTTTCACTACCTTATTACTTGATGATCTGAAGGCAAAAAAAATAGATAGTTAGACGTCATCTAGGTTTTCTATATTGGTTGATTATTTTACAGTGCATTGGTCTCAAAGGTTATTTGGGTTGGTTGCTGACTCGTGATTTATAACTTGTGGCTTCCATCAGTCTGGTCTCTCACATGCTGAGCATTCTTGAACTATCAAGCCTCCAAATTTTTTTACTATGTTACAAACTCGTTATTGCTTTTGATTTCAACACTATGAAGTACAAAGCTTCATGTTTGTTGACCAACATTGAGATTTTCTGCATTTACTTGGCAAATTAGAGGTTAACATGAGGAGAACAAACGATTTTATGGTTGGGTCGGGCTTTGGAAATTTTTTGAACTAATTTGAAAATTTGGGTTGATCGGTTTTCCATTTGAAAAATCTGTATGAAGTGTCCAACCTAATGCAGCCCATATATTTTTTAGTTGGGTCTTCAGGTTATTGGGTGAGGGCAAGCTTTGAACCAAAATTATGTTGAAAATTCGCTTTGAACCTCTCGTGTCAATAACGTCCATTCCTTGGGTTTCCAATCCTTTATATTTTTTAGTTGGAATGGTTGGGTCTTCGGATTGTTAGGTGAAGCCTGAAGGCAAGCCGGAAAGGGTTGGTTGGGTTCTGCCATTTTTTCTAAAGTCAATCACAATCTTTTTCCTCCTCGGTTCAAGGATAAAAAACTGGAGCATCCACATGAGAACAGAGAGAAAGGGGGATGGAGCAAGTGGAGAAAGATCCTTAAAGACATTTTGTTTACTATTATATGTAGGGGCGGTTCAGATTGGGTTTAATCGACCAAAATTTTTTCTAACTCGTGAATCAAATTGACTTTTTTAATTTGGTAAAAGATTAACTCAACTCAAATTGAAAAATTTTCTAACTCAATCCAATCCTCGCTGATTTGAATATCATCCTTGAGTTACGTGATAGAATGAGGTGGGTGATGAAGTTTTGATATAAGAAAGTCAACATACATATGTATATGATTTATAAGGAATAGTTCTCAAGAATGAGGTGGGTGATGAAGTTTTGATATAAGAAAGTCAACATACATATGTATATGATTTATAAGGAATAGTTCTCAAGAGTGACGTGCTTTTAGATTTAAGCAATTCAATGAATCCTTCTCAAAGCAAAGGGTCTAAGATAATGCTTTTTGATTTAGAGTTACTTTGAAAACAAATTAAAACGGGTGTATGTTATTTATTCTAATAAATTCATTGGAGTTTAATGAATTAGTGATCTGAATGTATTCTCAATTAGCCTTTATTTTTCACCGTCGAAAAAAAGGGCCTTTATTTTTACTATTTTGGTCTAGGAGTTACAATAATCACTCTTCTCTTTGTAGAAAAAGTCCTCTGACTCTTGTTCTATTAGTTGTCATCTATTCGAGATATCCCGAGCATAAAAACATAATAGACAACTTAAAAAGAGGAATGCATCTTTCGCTCATCAATTAAAGAAAAGAAATTATTACGTTTAAAAGTAATGTTTCCAAAACAAAGGAATAAGAAAAAATAAAGAGAGTTCAATTTCTAAATGGAACGACCAAAGTTGGGCCTATAAAGAGTGGATCACGCGTAAAATTGTGAATAAGATAAGGAAGAAAGAAAAAGATGAATTTGACCAAATAATTTTGAAAATGGCATTCAAATTCAAACCAATGTGAGTGGTTACAGTTAGGCTGAATTCAAATTTAATAAAAACAATAGGTGAACCGCATCATACTTGTTCCTTTCATCTTCTGTGGATGGGAGACCTAATTTAATTTCAATTGCAAATAACTGGTTCCTTAATCTCAGCACTACCAATTTCTTGCTACTTGGACTTTGTTTTGAATTCTATTTCTTTTAATGGTAATGGGCGATTCAATGGCTACATCTATAATATTATTATTCCTTCTCATTCAAGTTTGTCCTTTATGATTTGGGGTTGACAATCTAAAATTGGTATTGAATTAGAACACACCGGAGATGTTTCAATATGTTGACATTTATATAACTAAATGAAATTTGTTGATTGAGTTGGGAGGTTACCATCTTAAAAAAAAGGTCCCTCTTTTTTCCATCTTGGTCCAAAAGCTCATCATAAAAGATCTATGATGGCTAAAAATGAGAGATGAATCGACAGATTATAAGAGGAGTTCTCAATGGTTCAAAATTGTTTTAAGAAAAATGACATAAAATTACGTTTGTTTCAAAAATGAGTTTAAAATGACTTTTCAAGATATATGGTTTGAACTAGCAGGATCACTATTTAGACAGATTTTGTTCAGAATAAATTACATTTAGAATTTAGTCTTATGTGAGTTTGGATTGATTTATACTTTTTTGCTATCTTCACACATCTAAAATGTTGCTGTTGTTGATGTGCAAATATGGTTCGGAAGAATTACCATATTCAAATAAAAGGGAATCAACATAACCTGTGAAACAAGAAGGAATACTACATCGGTTTGGTACTAGTAATAGATGCCCTGATGCTTAAATTAAAATCGCTAATAAAAGTAGGATTTTTCTGTGTACCTTTATTATGAAGCATTTTTACCTCTTTATAGATGAATCATTCTCTCCTTAAGATATCTTCAATTTGAACGATTGGACTTGAGAGATGTTTGGGGATGAAAATACCCTGGACACGTGGAGGACCCCTATTGGTGCTCCAAGATGGCCCATGAGTCATGCCCAGCTCGGATAGCCGAGATGGCTGCCACCAACGYCGGCGAAAGCTAAGTATGAGGGCYGAGGTGAACCTGGCCYAGGTCTGACCTACCAGGGAGCTMRGTAGGGGCCGATGTGAGCAACTGTCTGCGGCGTGATTACCGGGTGTAACCGTTGGTCCCGAGATTACCGGGTGTAACCGACGGTCCCGAGATTACCGGGTGTAACCATCGCGAGATTAGCGGGACTACCACCCATAAGTAGAGGACCTCACTCCCCGATCAGGTACGATGATTTCTGGCTTCGAACTAAACTTGGAATCCGACCTATACTGACTTGATCGTCGGAGTGCTCACCTTTTTGTGCAGGTCTGCCCAAAGGTTCAGGTCGGTACGGAGGCCGAGTTCGAGCTACAATCAGGAAC